GCGGGCAGCGGGCAGCCCGGGGCTGGGGCGGCCCGGAGACGAACCCCTGGGGCCCAGGCCTGGGTCGGGGCAGCTGCACAGGCTTCGGACGGAGAAACGGAGGGCCTGCTTGGCCTGTGATTCATTTTCCCGGCCCGGGTGTACCCTTTCTTTTCTTCTCCTTCCTGTTTTGTTTTGGGGGCCCACATCATCGTGGCCTCTCTGCGACCCTGGGGAGCGGGGCTGGGGCGGCCCGGAGACGAACCCCTGGGGCCCAGGCCTGGGTCGGGGCAGCTGCACAGGCTTCGGACGGAGAAACGGAGGGCCTGCTTGGCCTGTGATTCATTTTCCCGGCCCGGGTGTACCCTTTCTTTTCTTCTCCTTCCTGTTTTGTTTTGGGGGCCCACATCATCGTGGCCTCTCTGCGACCCTGGGGAGGGGAGGCGAGGCCGGAGTCCGGGCTGCCATCCGCTCTCTGGTTTCGGGACCCTCCGATGGGGAATGAGCCCCAAGGTGGCGGAGCCGCCAGCCTGCAGGGGGGCGCACCTGTCCCTATCCCGAGACGGCTCCATGTCGCTGAAAGGAGACGACCCGGGTAACCACACCTTCAATCCTAGGTTCTCAAGCCAACGGCCACCCGCCCCTGCGGTCCCTGCCGTCAGTGCGCCAGGACGTCAGCCGGTACCAGAGGGTGGACGAGGCCCTCCCGCCAAGTGAGCAGCCGCTCCTGGGGTGCGGGGCCGCAGGGGCGTCCCTGGGGAGGAGGGCTCCGGGTGGTTGTAGGTGGTGATCCTGGCGCAGAGGCAGGCCGCACGGCATCCTGCAGAGCTGTCAGGGCTCACAGCAGCTTGGGTGTTCATCGGGCGAGCAGACGAACTGGTAGCTGCTTGTAGGAAACCTCGTGCTGTGTGGCACGCCGCCTTTTGGTTCACGTGCATCATTTTTGAGCATGAAGCAGACGTGTCATTAATCTCAGAAGTTAGCCGACCTTTCTGGGTGGGGGGGCTTTGACCATTGTCTGGGGGTTTGAAAGAAGTGTCCTTTCTTTCACTCTCGGAAAACAGCCCACAGAAGAGAGACGAAGACAGTTACACAGCCCGCGTTCACGGGTGTGAGTGTGGGTGGACACGGCGTAACCCGTTTAGATTGCCCGCCGCCCTGGGTGGAGTGATGCCTTAGGAGAGTGACGCAGGCGAGGAGAAAGGATGCAGGCAGGGCCTGTGTCCCTCTGGGGTGAGAGGAGCAGAGCGCCCACCTTTCTAGCTCAGAAATGTTCCGAGCAGGGGCTGGTAGGTGTTGTGCAGTTCTCAGTCCTTGGATGCCTCCTCTTTGAGCCCGCCTTTATTCCTCTGGGTAACTGAAGGCTGTTACTCATAGGTAACATGTATTTTAAGCAGTGTTTTTAAAAAAGTATAACAAGGTGGATCCTGTGTCATCTGCAGCAGGTGGGAGAGCAAGGAGAAAGCATTTCTGTATTGTTTAACTTTGGAGAAAAATTTAGAGTCAGGAAGGAGGAATCTCCTGGGCGTGAACTGGGAACAGCAGGAGAGTTCTGGGCACGCTTTGTTCTTAAGTCTGTGAGGATTCCCGGGGCTGGAGACCTGCGTGTGCACTGTTGCAGGGCGTTCTCCTGGTCATGCCCAGTTGCCTTTGGATTTGTTGGAGCCAGTTTTGGTCTTTGGGGTACTTTCTTGCAGAAGTTATGAGCACTACTTGTGATCTCTCCATAGGGCTACTTCAATGCTGGTAACTCCGTGAAACAGATAAAACCTAGCTTAGGAATTTTATATTAACAATTGCTAGTTCCCTTTAATAAGGCAGTATATTCCAGAGTAAAAGCAGTTTATGGACTGGTCCCATTGGATGACTGGATGAGGAGCAGGTGGGGAGATCCTCAGATGTGCTCCTTCTGGGCGGTGACTTCAGGGAGGTGGCCGGCCCCCTCCAGGCCTGGAGTGAAGGCTGCTGTCGTCTCAGCTGTGTTTGAAAGGAGGCCTGGTGTTAGTGGCTGGGAACAGGGATTCCAAACATCCTGGGTGATAGGACAGTGTCCCACCCAAAATTCTAGTAGTGTGCCCACTAAAAAATGTGCCTCTGTACTAATTTATTTAACATCCAATAGATGACATCACTTTATATAACATAACCAGAATTTTTATTCAACCAGAACTGAAAGTGTCTCCCTCTAAAAATGAGGTTAAATACACACACATACACACACACTCACACTCATGTTGTAGGATCATGCCCCTTGCAAATGTGAGAGTTTGACCAGGGTAGGTTATAGATTCGGGCATGAGCAGGCCTGATGACTGTCCCCTCTGTCCCTGCCCCTGTGTGGTTCTCGTCTTTGCCCCATTCCAGCCTCCTGTCTGCCTTGCTGTCTGCCTGGGCCCTCTGCTGTCCCCTCCCTGACAGCCAGGCCATCTACTCTCTTCGTGTCCTCTGCCTCTGGCCCAAGTAAAGGCCCCTGGTTGGAAAGCGTGGATTGGCTGCGTCATTTTGAGGCTGCTGTTATGATGACTCCAGATCACTTCCATGCTTTCCTTTTTGTTGTCCTGATAATTTTGCCAGGTAGATCAATCAGGTCTTACTGTAATTTGTACCGACCCATCGTAGTCATCTGATTGGATTGTCTCCTAAAGGAAGCCCAGGTAAATTAAGGTGCTTGTTTAGGAGTCCATGCTCGCCATGGAAGTGGGTCAGACACTGCGCCTCCTTTGTCTGTAGCTGCCTGGGCTTAGAAGGGAGAGCTGTTGCGTGGGTGGGCTGCTGAGCCCACAGTTCGTGGAGCGGCAGAGGGAGGCTGTGTGAGCCTGGGCGCCAGCAGCACCTCGGACTCAGGATTCGCAGCTTCTTGGCTTCATCAGTCTGTCTCGTGTGGGGCCCAAATCATGCTTGGCGGTTTCTCTGGAATCCTTCTGCAGCAGGGATCCGTGCAGCTGTGTGAGCCGGCATCGGTGTAGGAACGGGTTTGCCCGTCCCCCTGAGTGGCTCCTCTCCTGCATGGCACTGACCCCATCCCACAGGACAGGCTCCCGAAGCTGGCCTTTGGCTTGAATGTAGCCCTCATTTGGTTTATCTACCCCCATCATCGTCGTTGTTGTTTTTAGCTTAGTTTTAACTCATAAAATATTTGGGTATTAACTTTTGGTGAGGAAACTGTCCGGCAAAATTATGCTTCTCTTGGGAGATTATTTTCTGTACTGGGACTGAACCCAGCGGCCCCATTCAGCTGCACCCCAGCCTTTCATGTATTTATGTGTGTGTATGTGTGTAAATACGTATGTATGTATTTGTGTATTTGGAGACAAAGTCTTATTAAGTCACTAAGGTGCCCATGCTGGGCCCAAGCTTAGTCTTCCTGCGTCAGCCTCCGATAGCACCGGGTTGACAGACTTGTACCCTTTGCTGATTTAACAACCTGGCTAAGGACTCAGGGGTGGTCCTGCTGTGCTCTGTAACTTCAGCTGAGCACGTGGGAGTCCACACCTCATGGAAACAGTTTAGGCTCTGAAGAGCTATTTGAGTTTTTTTTTTTTTTTTTTTTTTTTTTGTGGTACCAGGGATCAAACTCAGGACCTCATGCTCTTGAGGCAGGTGACTGCACCACTGAGCTAAGTCTCCAGCCCATCTGTGTCTTTCTTGCTTGTTTGCTCCCCCTTCCTGTCCTCAGCCCCTGGCTCAGGCTTGGGAACAGGCCTTGGCCTCAGCCGACTGCTCAGCTGTGCCGTGATTCCCCAGTTGGTTCTCAAGATCTTCCCCTTGCTGTGAACCCGCAGGGTGGCCCCATGGGCCATGGACCTCTGTCCTGACAGTCACCCTTCTTGGAGGGGCTGCTGCTGAGAGTGTCCAGGAAAGCGGCTCAGGCTTGAGTGTGCACTGAGTGCTTAGGGATGGGCCTGTGTCTGAGGCAGCGAGAGGCAGGGCAAGGACAAGGCCCATAGGACATCGGCCCATGGCAGCAGCACCTCTTTGTGAAGAGGACGAGCAGCCCAGCGCTCTCTGGAAAGCTCTCTATGGTGTTTGTGTCCCTGGGACTAATGCAGTGGAGTGAACCTGGGATTGCTGTGTGAGCGTTGTCCCCGAAAAGGCATCTCTCCTGGGACCAGGACTCTGGGTCAGTGGACTTGCGAGAGTCCCTGAGGCCCCTGGATTGCTGAGGACTACGTGATGGGGACAGGCGGCTTGGTCTGGAGCGGCACAGGCAGACGTGTGTCATTGTCTGTGGTTGTGTACTTTTGTGATCCAGGCATCCCCCAAAGTGAAGGCCTAAAGCAGACAGTGAATCTGAAAACCCTAACCAATCTTAAATTTTCTCCAATATTTAGGTCTTGGGGCACTTACTCTCCAGAGCTTAAAATTGCGTTTTGAGAAGAAAACTGTTGTCTTAAAAACTGAAGAACAGGAAGCACAATGTGCAGCTTCTTGAACTTCTCAAACATTTCCTTCAAGTAAAATATAGCAGAAAGAAGAACGTTTGGTCTGCTGGCCTCTCCCAGGTCCTCCTCAGTAGTAGCCTGGACACCTCAAGGCCCTGTCAGCAACCAGCGCTGCCCCTCCCGGGAAGGGACTTGTCCCAAGCCCCAAGTCTTGCATTTCTATGCTCTGTGCCAATGGAATCTTACTTCCTTGAGTGTTAAAATAACAGCAACAAAAATCTTTTAAACACTCTGTTTGCTGTCTATCTTTTTCCTTGAAAGTACTTATAGTTCAGTCTGACTTAGCATCTTTTTTATAGTGAACTTGTGAATTTACTGCAACATTCAGGATTGGGCTTTACGAAGTCCACAAAACCCACCCAAGCCCCACGCGTGGTCCTCTGTCCCCCTGGACACCAACCATCCACGCTGACCTCCCCTACTGCGTGGTCGTGGCCCATCCGATCACCAGCTGGGTGAACTGCAAGTTCTAACTTGAGGGGAATTGGGAGGAAGGGCGGTGAGCTGAGCAGAAAGGGCCCAAGGCCAGCCCTGCCCCACCCAATATGTGGATTCTGAAACTGAACCCTTCTGAGACTTCACCTTCCCTTCCTGCTTCTGTGCCCTGCCTAAGGGACCTGTGCTGTGATAGTGGCCTCGGTGTAGGTTTACTGGCTTTCAGACTCCCGACTGTCCAGCTGTTTAGAGGGTAGTATTTACATGACAGCACCAGGGCGTCCATGTCAGGCGGCTCTCCATTCCTGTGATGTCTCCCTGAGAGAATCAGCCGGCTCAGCATTTGGGGGTTCCGTCCAGGTCTGGTGGACTTGGTCCTTTTAACAAAGCCTCGGGTGGGGTGGCCACACGTAATGGTAGGCAGGTGCCTGTGCTCAGCTGTCCTCTTTGTGGCCTGAACATGAAAGTGAGGGCAGGAAGAGATGGGCTGGGTCCCCATGAGCTCACCCCAGTAACCTAACCCCATCGGCCCCCACTTCTTCAGCTTCTCCACCAGCCAACATCGCCACGCTGAGAAGCAGCCTTTCCTCCGTGGGCCTCTGGAGGACGTCCACATGCACGGCACAGCCGTTTCTAAGAGCCTTCTTGCTCCTGGGACTCCAGCTGAAGTTAGGGTTCTTGTGAGCCCACATTTCTTCCTCTGAGAAATCCAACCTTTACTCTCTGGGTTCCTCCAGGAAATTAGCTGCCATTTTAGGTTCTCATTACTCTAGGTCAGTGTTCCTCAAACTTTAGCCTGGCTCGGAACTTCCTGAAGAGTTGTTAAACATGGACACAATTGAGGACCCAGGTCCTGACTCTTAGGGCCTGGATGGTCCTCAGCGTGACCCTGGCGTGTGTTGCCTGGGCCTCTCATGCCTTGAGAATGGCGGTGCTCACGAAGCTCTGTGCAGTGAGGTATCACGTGCAGCTGCAGCATACTCACAGGTACCCTTGGACCTCGCCGGGCCAGAGTGATCGGGGTGCTGGGGGCTCCCACCTCTATGGCCCAGAGCTCCTGGCCCTGGAAGGCTGAACTTTAAAGTTAGCTTGAAAGTTGTAGACTGAACATAAGATAGAGAACCTGATCTGAAATGTCACGAGGCCCTTGCTGAACCTGATGTGATAAAAAGGACACCGTGTTGTAGACTCATAGAATTGTAGAGCTGGAAGAGACCTCAGGAAATCCCAGATTCTGTGTTGTAGTTTACCAAAACTGTGTGCAAGGTATGACCAGAAAGCAGGCCTTTACGTCCGAAGTGGTGCGCTGCACACACACACACCCCACGGTCTTTGTTCTCGCTCTGCATGCACCCAGTCACACATCTCACTATAGAACGCAGCAGGAGGAGGAAGGCTAACCTCCCAGGTTCAGCTCTGCCTGTCTGAAAGAAACCTGGATGCTTCGGAGTGTGTTCTCAGGAGGCTTCTGATGCCGAGAAGCCAGGCCTGATAGATGTGTGTATGTGAGGGCAGTGGTACCCTCTCAGGCACTTTGCTGGGTGGGGCCAGCCCCATCCTTCAGGCCCCTCCCACCTGTGCTGGGGTGGAGGCGGCGCACGTGTCAGTGGGTCCACAGGGAAAGGCCACTTGCCCTCAGCACTTCAGAGCCGCCCTTCACAGGGTTTCAGGACCATCGGCCTGAAGCCGTTAACGTGTGACAGGGAGAGTCATAAGGTGCAGTCAGCAGCCTGCGTGCTCAAAATTCGAGTTTCTTACTCCATTTTCTTCTTCTCACTACTGAACACAGAAGTGTCTTTACTGACCAGTGACTTATGGCTATATTTGGCCTTTGTGAAGGTGAATACAGGACCCGTTATTTTTATAGCAGTATGCGCTTATATCTTTGCTCATCTGTTGCATGCTCTGTGCGGGGCACCATGGAGAAGATAGTGGAGGATCCCCCTTCCCCCCCTTTGCCTCCCTCCAATGCGCTGGGTGCACATCTCCTTAGCCAAGTCCTCATTCAGTTATTCCCACACAAGTCCTGTCTTTGAAGATCTTTTAACTTTCTTTTATCAAGAAGTAGAAAGTATGCAACAATGTGTTTTCTTTTCTGCCTTCACTGCCAGAAAATTTAGAGCCACATTTTAATAATAACCTTTCCTTGGAAGGTTGGCAGCATTTCTTTCTGCTACCTTTAGTTAGACTCTGTTCTTTTTTCTTTCTTTCTTTCTTTTAATCTCTAATTGACCGATTCTGCATTTTTAACGTTGCGAGCTACTGTCAGCATTCTTGGAGAAAAGAACGGTCATTTATTTTTGTGTGCATCTGGTCTGACCTAGAGTCTGTGCTTGAATTATCCTGGCCATTGTGAGACAAGCACGAGATGGGAATGCTTGGTTCTCAAAAGCGTGCTAGGAGCAGAGTGGTGGGGCAGATCGAGGGTGCTTCCTGTGCTGTTTGTCGCTGTGTCCCAGGCTGAGTATGGGGTCTTCTGCTGTGCCCAAATCATGATGCGCCGAGATAGGCAGATGCTAGATTTCACTCCAGCAGAGGTGCGGGCCCGGCCATCTGAGAGCCCCCGTGCAGGTCTTTCTGAGACGGGCCTGTGGTGTGGATGCTGCAGGGGTCGGGGTGGCATCTCTTCCTCCTGGCTCCAGGATTAGACTGAGATCTTTGCGGAAGCCAGGGGACGCAGGGGAAGTGGAGAGAGCGGACCTGCTCAGGAGGGGTGCTTGTTGATGGGAAGGAACGACACACAGAGTATAAATGTGTAAATTGTTTTTCTGGGTGAGGAACAGATCTTTGCTATTCTCATGTTTCCTGTGTAAGTTACCCTTCCCAGCTGCAGTAGGGTCCCAGGAATTTGCCTTTTGGGAAAATGAGCACGTGCTCTGGGTTTCAGTAGGGGAACGGCCTCCTAGGCAGTCTCAGTGGGGAGGTGCCTGGCTCTCTCTGTACTGAACATGCGCACGTACACATGCACTTACACAGACCAAAGCGCACGGTGATTGCATCACATACAATTAAATAATTTTTCTTTTTTCCTTGTCTTTGTCAGACAGAGTCTTGCTCTGTGGTTCAAGTTGGCTCACTGTGCAGCCCAGACTGTTCTCAGATTTCAAGTGATCTTTCTGCCTCAGCCTCCTGAGTGCCAGGACACAGGCATGCGCCGCTGTGCCTGGGGATAACATTTTAAAGTCTTGTGTCTGAGTGAGATTAGAAGGAGGAAATTGTCCTTGGTCTGGAATGGATTCATCATGGGGAGGTGCAGATTGAAGTGCGTAGATGAAGTTACTACTTGGTGACTAGGCTAGCGTTAGTTACCAGCTTTTCTTCTGAAGATTCAATTTACAATTGTGAATAAATATCACATATGTGTGTGTGTGTATGGAAGTTTCCAGCAGTGAGTATTTCATCTAAACTGGAATGAACAGAAAAATCAGGTTTTGGTGAAAGCAAGCATTAGAATCAATTTTGATGTGAATACCGAAATTATTAAGATACCAGCAGTGCGTTTTGGTGACAGCTGGCTGGCGCTGCTGTAGGAAGGCTGGCTGCGGGCAGACTTGGACAGGGCCCTGCATCTGGAGGTCTTTAAGAGGCTGACACATGTGCAGGACGGGCAGTTCTGGAGGCCCAGGGAGAAGGGTGGCTGCCGGGGCACGGTCAGCCCAAATCGTGTGTGGCTGAAGACAGTGCCCCTCACCTCTCCTGGCCCCCGCTGTTGCTCAGACTGGGAGGCGCGCATTGACAGCCATGGCAGGATCTTCTACGTGGACCACGTGAACAGGACCACGACATGGCAGCGGCCCACAGCCCCGCCGGCCCCACAGGTGCTGCAGCGCTCCAACTCCATCCAGCAGATGGAGCAGCTGAACCGGCGGTGAGTGGCGCTGCCCCAGCCTGGGGCTTCTGGGGGCCACGAGGTCCCTCCTGCCTTTGGATGTCCTGTCCTTGCACTGTGGTCGTCAGCCCTGCATGTCTCTTGGTTAAAGAAGAGGCCCGCCCACACATGCACAGTTTATTTGTGATCCAGAGAGGGAAGGATAGCAGGGACCCTGAGCTAGCCCTAGGCGAGGGCTTTCAGTAAAGCAGATCTTTAATTTGAAACCAAATTTCTGACCTTTGTGTTCTTCCTTTGTGATGTATCTTTATTATCAGCTGAAGCTTTTTCAACCATTCTTTTTAAACTGATTTCTGTGGAATATAAACTTGTTCTTTCCTTCAACAATGTAGACATTTAGTTTCTTTTTTTAAGGGCCGTGACTTTTTTAAAGTTGTGTTAACTTGTCAGGAAGATGCTGCACAAGCAGTGGACAGAAAAGCTAAATGCAGTGTGGTTTGCTTAAAAGACAGGCTGCTTATAAGCTCAGAGAAAGGGGCCAGGGAAGGTGACAGCCAAGCCTGAGAAGGTGGGGACACCTCTGGGTTTGGGGGAGCAGGGGTCCTGCCTGCGCGCCAGAATGTGACTCCAGGCTCCCGGTTACAGTTACCAGAGCATCCGCAGAACCATGACCAACGAGAGGCCAGAGGAGAATACCAGCACCGTGGACGGGGCCGGGGAGGAAGCTGACTTTCACCAGGCCAGTGCAGGTAAGAGCCAGGGTGTTTTGCTTCTGTAACCTCCTGAGAGAGAGAGAGAGAGAGAGAGAGAGAGAGAGAGAGAGAGAGAGGCGGGCGGGGGGAGAGAACTCCACCTCTTCTCCCAGACCTGCTATTGCGACTCAGAAACTGGACTTCACCAGAAACCTCTTCAAGTCCTTGACTTTTTATCAGTACTGAGAAAAGAATCATCAGATGAAATAGAACATAAATTTCCATAGTCTGAGTCTGGGGGGTTCGGGAAAAGAATCCTGTCGTTTAACAGAGTAAGCTAAGGATGTGTTAGTGTTAAAATAGTGCAGAGAAGTGTCACTTGGCTTATTTTGGCGTAGTCCAGCAGAGCTGGGTTTGTGTACAGCGGAGAGAGTCGGGGTGGGAGTGGCAGCAGATGCAGCGGTGCTTCTCCGTTCTTCCACAGCGTGGAGCCCAGGCAGCGGGGCCTCCGAGCCCTGTGCTCTGCCCGCAGACTTCCGCAGGGACAGCGTCCTGCCGCACTCCACCTCCAGATCCAGGCTCACGTTGCTGTTGCAGTCGCCCCCCGTGAAGTTCCTCATCAGCCCAGAGTTCTTCACCGTGCTGCATTCTAACCCCGTGAGTAGTCCAGCGGGCCGCACCGTGTCCTCCTCACTCGTGTCACCGCTGAAGCGTCACCACCGCCCGCAGTGTGTCCCACACCATGTCGTGTCGGGCACCCTTGGGTTCTAACTCTCTTTGCCCCACTCTATTGCCAGCACCAGCAAAAACACACCCCTGAAATCGCGTGGCTTACACACGACGAAGACTTAGTTCTCACGGTCCTGAAGGACGGCAGTGCAGGCTCCGTGTGCAGCCGGCCCTGTGGGGGGAACGACCTTTCCTGGTGTGCAGATGGCCCTTTCACCGCGTCCGCCCACGGCAGGAAGGGTGAGGGGCTTCCTCGGCTTCCCCTGCAGGACACTGACCCCGCTCCCACGGGCTCCCCATTAGGCCCGTTCTCCCTGGTGCCATCACCCAGGGCCACAGGTGGAGAGCCCGCCCTCGGGTCTCAGGGCGGGGTGAGAGGCTCGCTGGAGACACGGGTAGAGGCGAGGACGCCTGTGTCGCTGTACACCCCAGGCACAGAGGGGCGACACCGCCCAGGATGCAGCTGGCTGGAGTGCGTAGGATCCTGGATGGAGGGCGGAGGGGAGGCGAGGAGGGGGAATCAGCAGGAGAGGAGGACGGCTCTGGAGAGGTGGCGATGGCTGGGTGGGCAGAGATGCAGGCGCCCGAGTGTTCACAGTGAGGCGGGACTGACAAGTGCCGCCTGGTGAGCAGAGGGAAGTCGGAGTGGGAGAGTGGTTCAAGGCGTGGAAGGGGAGCACAGCAATGAGCAGAACACACTGGGCGCCTCAGGGGAAGCAGCCGGGCCCGGGGGGGCGGGGGAGCCACAGAGCTGCAGAGGCCATGGGGGTGAGCAGGGTGGGTTCTGTTCACCATGGCCACTTGGTTGATGCTGCTAGGTGCTGAGCTCAGTGCTAGGGGCAGGAAGATGATAATAACAGTCAGCCTGGGGACTTCCAGAGCCACGAGCAGTGCCGGGTTCAGACTTGGAAAGCCCTGGAGGCTGACTCCAGAAAGGGGCGGAGGTGGCTTTGTACCTGGGGAGTGTTTCAGAGGCTGAGCAAGAGCTCCTCTGAGAAACAAGATGGCAGAGCCCTCAGGTGGGTGGTGGTGGAGCACAGCAGGCCGTTTGGGTCACTGAACACCCGGAAAGCCTCCCCGTCGCCGGTGTGGATGGAAGGAGTGGCGTTTGCAACCATCCGTGAAGCAAAGGGCACCTGGACAGTCGCGAGCCACAGAGCATGTGCTGTTGCTGCTGTGTGGAGACACAGGGCAGGTGGGGCAGCCGCCCTGGGGCTGGAGCGATGGCTGCAAACCAGTTCCATAAACCTCAGCTCGTGTATGAGGCCATCCCAGGAGGTGACACCTGTCACCAGACATAGAACAGTGCGCTGTGCCGGGAAGAGTTTTGGACTTGGACTCGGATTCCGTGAGCCCCGTTCTGATTCGTTTGTTTGTTTATTCACTCATTTGACCATTGGGAAAGAGCCTGTGATGGGCCTGGAGTATCTGGACTCTGGGGACAGCGTGCAGAGACATTAGTGAATGGAAGAGGTGATCCAGATACTGCATGTGACGCAGTGAGGACCAAGTGACCAAGGACAAGCTGAGATGACCCTGTTTCAGATGAGGCGGGCGGAGGTGGACAGGCCACCTCCAGGGAGCTGCCCACACTCCAGCCGCCTCATGGTATCAAGAAGCGGGAAGGGCAAAGGCTGGAACCTTCCTTGTGGGGAAAAGCTACAGCCCGGGGCCGGACTGAGTTCGATGTGGTCTTTGGTCAGGCAGGACAGCCACGTGTGGGTGCAGACACATCACCTGTCTGACCTGGAAAGGAACCAGGGTTTTATTGGAAATGGGCTTTATTCTAAGAGTATCTCCTCATGGGAGTGACTTATATTTCTACAGTTGTTCTGGCTGCTGTGCAGAGAATGGGTCTTGGGGGCCAGAGGGAAATCAGTGGGAAGGCCCGGAGCGTCATGGAGGTGGCGTGGATCCAGTCTCAGGAGCGACAGAGACAGCAGGACATGGGGTGGGTTTGAAGGGAGAGCTTTGTCCTAGTGGACTGAATCATGGGGATGAGAAGAAGGCTCACAAGGGCCAGCTGGTTGGACAGCAGCATTCAGGGGTTTGCTGGTACAGTGGCACCTCGGTTCACAAGCTTGATTTGTTCTACAGTTTTGGAAAAGATGACCACGGTTGTGTTCCTCACCCGACATGGAGTTCGCAAACAGAAGCAAAATTGTGCAGAAATGCTTCTGTTCACAAACTGACTGCCTTCCCAGAGTCCTGGAATGATTAAATCCGTGAAGTGAGGCACTGCCATAACAGTAAACCACCGCAAACCCGTGTGCTTTTGTTGCTGTTGCCGCTCGTGCATCGGTAGCCGGCCCACAGTGGTACAGTAACCGTGTCTAGCCCTGGAGGCAGGGCCTCATTTTGTGTGTTGAGCCTTCACGGGGGCACAGCACAATCTGAAGTTCAGTTTGCAGGGCCAGCACTTTATTTTCTCCTTTAAGACTAGAGAAAGGCAGCAATCTTGTTCTGTAAAGGGCTGAAGGCAAATACTCTTTGGCTTTGGGGCCAAGGATGGTATGGAACACATGGCCTGGCTGTGTGCTGGGGAGACTTGGTTCTGAACCCGGACAGTTGGCCCACAGTCTGAGCAGTAAATGAGTCCTGGATTTGCAGGTGGGATATCCGCGGTGTGTGTCCCCACTGTGGGGACCTCTCCGGCTCAGACCTCTGTCAGTTCACCCCTCCCCGCTCTGCTGCTTCAGGCAGGGGTGGGACTGGGGCTTTGACCCATTGGCCGGGCTCTGTGGTTTAACCGGGAGACTTTAAAAGTAAATGTGCAGGGCCAGGAAGTTAGCTCATGGGTTCCACTGCCTCCCTCACAAGCAGTGTCCCAAGTTAGATCCCATCCCCCCCCCCAAAAAAAGAACAAAAAGTAAATGTGCATTCTTGGTTCCTGGGAGGTTCTGGTTAAGTGGATCTGGAGTAGGTCCCGAGAGTCTGTGTCCTGGAAGTAACTGTGACACAGAGTCAGGACCTGTGATTTAGGAAGTCCCAGTATGAAAAGAGGCTGCGTCAGATGCTCTCGCGTCCTGGGCCCAGCTCCAAGTCGTCTGGACATTTGACAGCCGACACAGTGTGAGAGTCCTGAGCACACATCTGGGTCTCTGCTTATTTTGTTTTCACGTTGTTGTCCTTATACTTGGAAATGTTACCAAAGTACCTTTTTCTGGACAATCTTTCTCGATTTAAAGTATTCTTTCTAGAGCATTTCAATTATTTTTCTTCCTTCTACTCAGCTGCTGGCTAAAAAGATGGACCCTCATTGTACACTTCTGCATTTCTATAAGATTTAAATTCTGTTAGTTTAAGAAGACTCTCATTTCTCTGATTTACATGTGACAAAAATAAAAGTAGTTGGGTTTTTCTTGCTAAAGTCTCAGAGGTATGAATTAATGGCATAAGTCAGGTTTTTTTTGGTACAAGGCATTCCTTGCTGGAGTTTCTTACTAAACAAACTTTTATTTGATCTTCCTATCTTGATTTTTTTGTGTAGTATTTTACTTAAATTTTTCATAATACATGACTTTTGGTAAATTCCTTGCTTATATTATTGAGAATATTTAGTATATAACAAGAGTGTTTTAATTTGAAAGTTTTCTTAATTCTTTTTGACTTGAAGAAAGTAATTTATGTTAGGAGATAGCCGGGAAAAATAGATATCATGTAGCAATAATTTACATATTAGTATTTACTGAAACAAAGCTAAGGAAGCCCGTGGTTGTCCTAACTTGAAAAACAAAATGTTGATTTTTTCTGGGTTGTCCTTTTCAGATGTATAATATTGCCCACTGCTGGTTGTTCTTAGATTTCTTCCAAAATTACCTTGATAAATTATTTCTCCTGCTAACTCAAACTGTAGTTACTATATTAAAAAGAGCAAGGAGACTGGGGAATGCGAGTTACCAGGAGTGAGGAACGACCAAGACATGTTACGGGTGTGTATGAATGTGCTGGAATGAAACCCGTGGTTCTGTAGAACCAATCTGCATTAAAAAAGGAAAAATACTTATCTGTGCCATGTCTTTTATAGTTGGTATGCCTCTTTAAACACAAATACTTTAGATTATATGTAACTTAATAATGTCTCCAACGTGCATGCCAAATACTCCTCTGCTCTTAATGAGCTCTTAGACATATGCTAAGTCCATCACCTAAAGCCCTTAGTACGTAATGATGAAAAGCATTATTTCTTACAAGTCAAGGATTACTGCTTACACAGAATAGATGAACAGATAGTGTATAGTCGTTTCCACTAAAGCATTTAAATTTCTCTCCATTTTACTCTGAAGCTAGATGAAAACACCGTGAAACCCTTTCTATGTAAGATAGGGCGTACATGTCCAGATTCCAGCAGGAATTTTCTGGAAACATTTCTTGATGTGTTTATAATAGCTTTTGATCAGTGAGTGACAAGCCAAGAGCTCGAGTCCCTGTGAATAGGAGAAGCCTTGGTGTAGATTCCGCAGTGCTGTTTCCAACCCAGCTTCAGTCTGCCTGCTTTAGATGAAGGATCTCCCGAGTAGGACAAATGCTGTTTATCAGTAATATACCTAACTTTGTTACTGAAAAGAATAGAACTGGGAGAAATCAGGTCAACCTGGAGGTTTGGTCACCAAAGCACTGAAGAAAAATTGCAAAAGAAAAAGGGATTAATTATCATTCGAATTGTGGCCGATAAGAACTGACTACACAGTTCTCTTGCCCTGGTGCCGAGTGACAATAACAAGTCCTCTTAGTTCTGCACGTCTCTGATGGCACACACTCACTCTGCTCTGAAGAGTTTCCTTCTTAGCATGATTCCACTAAAGAAAATCGGAGGATCAGCGATGGAGCATTTCTTGCTAGGAAGACAAGAAACAGTGAAGAGGGAGGCAAGACGGGAGTCTGGGAAGAGATGAGAAGTATCTATGTCATTCACATTCGCCTCCCGCCCAGCTACTCATGGTCCACACGTGTCGTCCACGAAGTCACTCCACAGGTCACGGTGCGGCTGTTGCAGGAAGTAGGAGCCCTCTGCTCTCTCTTAATCCACCTTTGTGTCAGATAAAAAATAAATCAAGTCCGTTTGCTTCATCCTTTTCCAAGAGATGAACAAACTGACCGACACAGAAGGATCCCGATCCCGTGTGGATGGCTGAGCTCCAGCCTGAGATGAAGACGTCTTTTCTCCGAGCCTGGCGGTTGCCACGGTCATGTCCCGAGGCTTAACTCCGCAGCCGGCTGCCTGCATCCTGTCCCTGGGCTCTGCCTCGTGGTCTTCACATACAGCTTGCTTTCTGCCCCATGGGCTGCTTCCTCTCCTGCAGCCTGTCATTTTCCTTCTCTGTCCTCTAAGTGACCGGTCCCTGTCCTGGGTGTACCCAGGCTGAGCACCGAGTTAGGAGGGTTAGGGCCTGGCTGCGGGGAATGGGGGCCCAGCATCTTCAGAGACTAAAGGAGAGGGGCAGCCTTAGTACTGTCGTTAAGCAGTTAACCTCCTGTTCATTCTTTTCGTTACTCATACCCGTGTCTTTATAGTGGCTTCTACTTTTTGCAGCGCTTTAACATCCTTTCTTCTATTATATTTGAATCTCACATGGCTACAAAAAGCAGGGGGATTATTACCCCATCTTGCAGTTGCACAAATTAAGGCAAACCGAGACTAATGGCTTTCTTTTCTATGTGTGTGATGACAGAGCTATGATTAGATTCCTCACAGGAGTTCTGCATGGGCCAGTTTCATACCCTCTTTGGGCTGGTCCCTACCTCTGTCAGTCGCATGTGCGTACCTACACACCCTGGAGCATGTGCCCTGGATGACACAGGTATGCTGTGTGTGTTCCTTCAGGAATGCACAGTCTGGAGGGGTGTTCATCTGCCTAAAGTGTTTTATGTAGACACCCACAGGCCTGAGTCCATTATTCAGATGTGAAAAGGTCATTTGCTACTTACTAAGGAGAGAAATCTTTCTTTCACTTCATTTGCTCCGGTAGATGCTTTCTGCAAAGATCATTTGAGCTCAGCACTCTTCCATGTCTCACTGCATGCAGAGGAGACGAAAGGATATAGTTATTCATGAGACAACCCAGAGACCCCCTCGCTTATTGGAAGTCAGTTGAACCCGGGCACTGTCCACCATGCGCAGGGATTGTGTCAGCCTCACGGCGGCCTGGCCCCATAGCCTCTTTGCCGCAGCTCCTCGCCTTAACGGAGGTCTGCTTCTCCCAGCAGCAGCTAGGGAACATCCGCGGTGTCCTGGATGAGGAGCCTCGATGTGGCCTGTGTCCTTGTGGAACAGGAGGGCGGGATGTGAAGGGGACCCAGAGATGCACAACTTAGGACAGTGGCCAGTGTTGTGCTGTATTGAGCAGTCACCCCACAGGGAGCCCGGAGAGACTTCAGGGATGAGGCTCCAAGCTGTTTCCTTCACACATGAAGGCTGTGGTGGCTGTGGGGGATGCGTCAGCCACACAGAACCCCGTGGGAAGAGCCCTTTCTGATGGTGTGGAGGACGCCACACGAGGCTCAGCCACAGCCAAGCTTGTAGTGGGCCCCCGTTGTCTCTGTCAGCCTGCAGCTTCTCCAGAGCCCCTCTCTTCCCGGCCTCAGTCTCCTGACCTACATTCCCTGCACCGTAAGGCTGCCTTCTGCTGTGAAAACTCACCATCACTGAGACAGCTGAAAGGGGTTTTTAACTCAGGTACTGCGAGGAACTAAGACCTGAGGATGGCCCAGGATGACCTCCCTCCCTCCCTTCCATGTTTTGTTAGGGGAAGGTATTTTAATGCAAAGCAAAAAGCATATAATGATGGTGGGTTAACCAGACACTTTAGGTTATTCTTCAGCCAGCGGTGTCGGTAAACAGTGGTTTATTTCTCATCAAACATCTCGTCATTAGGGTTCTCTGAACTTGGTGGTCGCTCAGAGAGCCAGGATGGGCAGCAGCCACATTTCTGACATTGCCAGTTGCCATTCTTGCTGGGACAAGAGATAGCAGCTCTCGGGGGCTCACGTGGGCAGTGGGTGCTCTGAGCTGGGTATGACACGTGTGCAGGGCCCCAGGAAGACGGGCTCCACACTTGTTTACCTTTTGTCCTAAGTAACACAGTACTTGGTGCAGCAAAGACAGTGAATGTTTATTAAACGGAAATGATTTCTAGAAACTCCAGTATCTTTGGATTTCTTGGGGCTTAGACTAAAGGAAATAACACAAAAGTAAAGCTTGAAGGGTCCCAGACTCAGTCACGTGTCCCCAGAGTACTGAAGTAACAAGAATCCAGGGCCCTTGGTCTCTGTGTGAAAAGCACAGGAGCCAGGGTGGTCTTTTGTAGCCTGGGTGGATCCCTGGGTGTCGCATGTCTGATGACTCAAGAAAACGCTCTGTGCAGTCCTTCCCTCTCTGCTGCTCAGTACGATTATGCAGTGAGTGTTTGGTGAATGATCCATGCACAACCTGTGGTTTAAAATCAACTTTAAGTGTCATAAATGAAGGCGACAGATTTTTGGACAAAACAGTCACTTCTTTGTGGAGCTTTATTCACTTGCCATCTCAGTTACTGTGTATAGTAAACTCATCCTCATACACATGCGGCTGGACAGATGGAAACTGAGTCTGGATGGCTGGACCTGCTGCTCTATTTGCCGAGCCTGTCCTCTCAGGAAGCTCAGCCCGCGTAGTGTTCGGTGGGGCTGCTGAGCTGCTCATCTCGCTGTCTGTGCCTCGTCACAACTGTGTGGCAGGCCCCCACATGCCGTGGTCCCCGGCTCTGGGCACTCGGTCTCTGGCGCACCAGAGGGACAGCGACCTGGCCCGCGCTGGAGAAAACGGTCGTATCCGCTGGCTGGGAGGCGCGCAGCCCTCAGCTTGGTGTGTTTTGATTGTGTTTTTTGTTAAAACCGATTTTAGACTCTTAATATCCCTGTGTAACGAGATACTGCAGCATTCTTGTCCTTTAGACAACTGAGTTCCACCATGGAGAAGGCCTGACCTTCCCTAGTCTTCATATGCTATTTTGTTCAAGCCTCTGCTCTGTCCTCGTGTGTGGGTCTGGTTAGGGTGCAGCCCAAGCCCATGTTTCTGTCCCTACAGATGACACAGACTCCTCAGCTGTAGCCATGGTGATGTCCCCAGCTGTGTCCATGGCTGCCCCGCAGGTTAACCCTGGTTCTCTGTCCTCTCCCCAGAGTGCCTACCGCATGTTTACAAACAACACGTGTTTGAAGCACATGATCACCAAAGTCCGTCGGGACACGCACCACTTCGAACGCTACCAGCATAACCGGGACCTTGTGGGCTTCCTCAACATGTTTGCCAACAAGCAGCTGGACCTGCCGAGGGGCTGGGAGATGAAACACGATCATCAGGGCAAGGTAATAGTACAGCTGCCCCCGAAGCTGGTGGAGGTGGCAGGGTTGCCAGGCCTGGCCTGCTCTGCCCTCGCTCACCTGCAGGGAGTTTGGTGCCTCACCCCAGGACTGTTCCGAGCAAGTGCAAGGTACGTGCAGAGGCGGGCAGCTTCCCTCCTGTTCTGAGCCCTGCCATCTCTCACCTGTCCTTCCCTCCGGTTAGAGGAAAGATTTCTTAGCAACAGCCCTACTTCTCCCGGACTTCATAGCTTGCGTTGTGGGTATTTGGTTGGGAGTTGTGGTGGTGTTTGTAGCAGCAGTCCCAGAGCGAGATGTCATCTGGGCTTGGCCTTGGTCTTGTTACTGTGGAACTCTGATTTTGTTCTAAAACAAAAGAAAACAGAATTGTCACACAGGGCAGAGGAACATTATCTGCACTTCCTTCCTGACAGATGAATCAGAAAGCCTGGTTATGTTCAGGAAGTTGTATGAGTAAGAAGTCAGAATGGCAACATTTGTGCTTGTCAGGAGATGTTTGCCCCTCCGTAGCATTGACTTCCAGACATGAGCAGTGTAAGCTTTTTCTGCATAAAGTGTCCTCACCATGGCTAGGTAAAGCAGTGTACTGGTATTGCCACTTGTGCAGAGGGAGCCCCGGGCCAGGCAGAATGTAACCTGCCCCACAGCGCTGAGACAGGAAGTGGTGAAGCTGGGACAGGAAGTGGCATTGCCGTGCTGTGACCCAGGCAGTCTGATTCTGGGGGCACAGGCTTAGTCACGACATTGTGCTCTTCAAGGAGGAGGTAACCATCTCAGTTTCCTTGTCTGTAAAAGGTCTTGGAATACGTGGCTTCAAAGCTAGTCAGGATTAAAGTGAAATGATATCTAAACAATTCAACAGTGCTCAGGCTGTGTATTCCACAGACCCTTATTGAGCACCCACACAAAGCACATGAGCCAGCTGCCTCATAGTTGGCCATTTGCAGGGAAGTAGCCTGGCAAGACAATGCGTAGTGTGCCGAGAAATGGCTCAGGCAGGGACTTAGAGCATCAGCGGAGCCCACAGAAAGATGGCATGGAGAATATTTCGTGCAGGATAGTTGGTGAATGCTGCACAGATAAGGCCAGAGGTGAACAGATTCCTGCAGGAAGTGAGGCGTGAAGCATGGGGTAGCACACTCCAACAGTGCAGGTGATTCAGCAGCGGTAAAGTGCCCGCAGCAGTGACACTTTGGTGGCCTCTTCCTCAGCCTGTGGCAGTCTTAGCAGAGAACCTGCACACAGAGCCTCGTTACTAAACATGTGGGTCCTAATGCCCAGGAGGAGCCCGTGGACTCACTGCAACTACTGATGTCACAGCTCATTGGAATAAGCCTCTGATTCCCGGCCAGAGATCAAGTGTAGGAGAGATGGAAGACGACAGGTCCGCCATCATGTCTGGGTCACGGGTACAGTGGCCCTGGATCGGAGTCAGCTGAGCTGATGACAGCCCTTCCAGGACACCAGGAAGACGCAGTATCGTTAGTTCGGAGTTTACATTGACAGCCTGGGAGCTTATGGGAGTTAAGCAGGGTCCCACAGAAAGGACGTGAGAGCCAGGGGTCTTTCCAACACTGCATCTCGACAGGAAACGGGGAACGAACATCCGGCGATCTTGCGGTGCAGAGACCGGGATGCAGCAGGACACCTGCACCCTCGGCTGTGGCTGGGACCCCTTCACACTCCAGGCGACGGGCAGCCTGCTGGGGTGGGGAGCTGCTCAGGGTGCAGAGGCCAGTCCTTTCCTTGAATTCTGGGAACTTTGCATCCTGGTCTCCGGTCTCCATGGCCCCACCGCATAGGCTTGACAGTCAGTCTTCTCTTCCCTAGCAGACGACCCCTCTGTGAGCAGTCCCTCTTCTACCCGGTGCTTCTCGAAACAAGTCGATGATGACACTTGTCTCCTGTGGTTTCCTGGCTACACAGCAGGCTTTGCTTTGGCTCAAACAGGAACCTTCTTTGAGAGGTGGCCCCGGACCCCGTCCTGCTTCACTCCCGATGCATGTGTCAGTTGTGGTGTTTGGAGAGGGTGCGATCATGTTGGTACCGAACCTTGGATGTCTCAGTCTCAGAAGAGGCTCCGTGGTAATCAGAAGGCCAGGGATTTAAACTGAGGTTTTACTGGATCTGTATCCGGTGTGCTGTGCTTGGGAGTCACAGAGTAGGAAATGTGTTTGGGGTACATAAGGAGAAAGAGGGAGGAAGGGACAGAGGGAATGGAGGTGTAAAGCCCTCACCTAACGGGTAAGCACAGGCATCAGGTCTCCCTGGTGAGGCGATGGTAGCAGTGATGCTGCACTTTGGAGCTGGCACCGTGTGCCAGGCACCACCCTGGCTGCTCTTCCACAGCTTGTTTGTTTATATTTCATAGCAGTAGAGCTGGAATATTATTACCTATATTTTACAGAAATTTAGAGGCAATAAATAATCTGTGTATTAACAAACAAGGAACCCAGGAGTGTGACTCAACCACTGTACTCTCTGAGAAGAAGTTGTTTGTGGAAACAAGACACTTTAGCATCTCAAGGAAGAGAAGCTCCAAACCGAGTGCTGGGATTTCTGTTGTCCTTCAGCTGAGTTGTATATAGGTCTCCATCAGGTCATGGACAGTCTCCCAGAAGACACATGCTCAGGATCACACAGGTGTCTTTGCTCACAAATGATGGAGGCCTCATGCTAGGGGCCCACACCATCATTGTAAAGAAGGAGTTGCCAGGCGTGGAGGTACACAACTGTAATCCCAGCTACTCAGGAGGCTGAGGTAGGAGGATTGCAAGTTCGAGTCTAGCCTGGGCAACTTAGTGAGACCTTGTCCATAGTTAGATAGATAGATGGATGGAAATAGATAAGTAAATGAGAAAGAAAAGAAATAGATAAGTAAATGGAAGGGGCCGAGTGTGTGGGTCATTGGTAGAGGGCTTTGCCTAGCATGCACAACACCCTTAGTTCAATCCCTAATACAAAAAAAAAAGTAGGAGAGAGAGAGACACAGAAATACACACACACACACACACACACACACACACACGCATGCACGCGTGGAGTTTTACATATACTGATAGCTTATACAGTGCCAGCCTGTTAGACATATATTAGCTCATTTAGTTTTAATAATTCAGTGAAATGCATTTTACTGTAGAAGAAAGCAAAGAGCCGAGAGGTTAATTGTGTATAAGCACACTGTGTGATACAAACCCAACTCTGTGTATTCAGAGCCTTCTTGTGCAAGGCTGAACTAAACTTCATGGGCCAGTAACTGTCTAATTCTGGAAGCATCAGTTCCTTGGGTCTGGCTTTCCTTGTGTGATCAGTTTTTCCTGTGCTGTTTGCTGTTTGCACATTTTATTTGGAGAAATGTACATTGAAATACTTTGTCCATTTTTAAATTGGATTACTTATCTTTATGTGTTGAGTTGCAAGGATTGAGATCGTTATGTATTCTGGGTGGTGGTGCCTTATTGGTACATGCTTTACAAATATTTTCTCATGTTTTTTGGGGTTTTTCACTGTCTTGATGGTATTGTTTATAATACAAAAGCTTTCCATTTTTATATAGTCCAGTTTATCTGTGTTTTGTTCTTCTGCTTTTGGTATTGGAGCTTAGACAATAATACATAATTCAAAACAATATTTACTGTTTTCCTCAAGAACTTTATAGATTTAACTCTTTGCTCTTTGATGTATAACTCATTTTAATTTAATGTATTTTATGATGTAAGTTATGGGTCCAACTATATGGCTTGTACCTAGATGTCCCCCAAAATCTCATACACTCATGCATGGGGCTTTATGGAGGTGGCTGGATCTCGGGTGTGTGAATGTGGATTATGGGTGTGTGCTAAATTAGTCCACTGATTGGTTTACTGTAGTTCTGAGTGTGGATAATGGGAAGGCCCTCTCTGGGTGTGAATGGCACCATCCAATAGACTTGTAGCTTGAATGGGATAAAAGGGAAAGGGAGGCTCGATGCTGCCACTTTCTGCCTGCTTGCCACGGGATGTTTCTCCTCTGCCGTGTCTCTGTTGTGCCGCCCTGCCATGGAGCCAGAATAAAATTCAGAAATTTTAGAAATAACTCAAATGTGCCTCTGTGGATAAACAGAGTGTGGTAGATCAATACAATGAAATATTACTTGGCTAGTTTCTTCCCTTAGCAATGTTTTCAAATTTCCTCTGTGCTTCACTCAAGGGAGTGAAGTATGATTCATGCTACAGCACAGAGGAAATTTGAAAACATTGCTAAGGGAAGAAACTAGCCAGAGATCACATTCAAAGATCTTCCCATTTATATGAAATGTCTAGAATCGGTAAGTATATAGGGAAAAGTAAATTGCTGGTTGCCTAGTATTGGATAGTGAATAAATGCTAAGGTGTAAATGATTTAATTTTGGGTTGAGGTGGGGAATGAACAACAAAATGTTTGAAATTTGGATAATGGCAATGGTTTCACAACCCTGTGTCTATACTAGAAAATATAAAATGTATACTTTAAAGTGAGTGAATTGCGTGGTATTTGAATGAAATGCAAATAGAACTGTTTTAAGAAAATCAACGAGTTGTATTAGAAAGCCAAGAATCACTTTTTAGC